CTTACTAGCTCTGTCGTCTTGGATAAGTCTTAACTGTCTCTGGACTCAATCCCTCATCTGTATGACAAGAGGGTTGAACTATTGAGCTTCAAGTTTTCTCCCAGCCTCAATATTCTGTGAGACATTGAAAACAAGGCAAGTCTAGGTTTCAAATGTAGGCTCCCTTCCAGAAAAGCAATTCAACAGGACAGCTGAGATCCCCAAGCTTTTTCAGGGGCCTCCAACTCCTCTCCCTCCTCCATGTCTTAGCAAATATTAATAGCCAAGGACCTCGCTGAGTGTGGTTTTTAATAGAATCCCATTTCAGTCCATTTAGAGTGGGACTTTTCATGCTGACTTAGAGATTTGAACTATGCCATATCTGATGGACTGAATGCATTTTCCCTGCCTCCACTGCCCACCCTGGGCTGGTGGGGAGAGAGAGAGTGCAGGAATTGGGAACAGAGTGGGGCATCTGCAGATCCATTATTTGACCTCATAACCAGTCTTTCCTGCTCTGAGACATGTGATGAGGATGTCAAGGGCATTGGTAGGAGAGAAGGCAACAAGCACTCTATTTCCCCACAATTGTCTTCTCCTTACAAAAGAGGCTGCTGGTCTCTGGGCAGACTGTCAGGAAGAAAACTGGGCTGATCTTTGGATGACTGGAAGACACTTGGTTGTGAAAACCATCAGAATTATTCCAATGGATTGCTGAGGAGTCTCTGCTATGCCTGGAGAAGGCATGGGGTGGAGTATGGGGCTTCTTCTGTACCCGCTCCCCACCCCCCACACACTACCAAGCACTTGTCCTGTTCAATCAGGGCCTGTGGAAAGATCCCTTCCTCTTAGCATGCAGAGTGTGGGAATGTGGAAGGAGAACACACAGGTATTAGCAGCCACCCTATAAATGAGGAAATGGAGGCTGAGGAGGGTTGGGGGGAGAAAATGAATGTTTACTCTGTGCTTACTCTGAGGAAAATGAGGGTCAGAAAAGTTAAGCAGCTGTCCCAGGGTCACATAGCTGGTAGATATTAAAGCCGGCATTCAAACAAAGCTCCATCTATCCACTCCAGAAGGTCACATGGTTTGAAATGGTGGAGCCAAGTGCTCTGCAGCTTCTCTGCTGGTCTACCTCTGCAGTGGCCCCTTAACATGGTAGGTTATCAGAAGCACATCAGGACGTTCAAAAAACTGTAGCATCTTGAGCATTATCCTCATTGAGTCTGATTCAATGGGATAAGACAGAGCCTGAGATGATGTATTTTTTAAAAAGCTCTTCTGATTCTGATGTTTTGGAAAGCACAGGGCTGGAGCATGTGGCTTCTCTTCTGACCCAGGTCTCCCAGGACCTCTTCATTTTTCAGAAGCACAGATCTAGTCCAGCCCTGAATTTACCCCAAGTAACATTTGCCACTGAATCCATTATTCATTCCAGGCTCAATGCTCAACACTTTTTGAGTACCGACAATGTGCCAGGCATTGTGCTTAACATTCTGGCTGCAAAGATGAATAAGCCATAGTACCTGCCTTGAGGAACATCCAGGTAGTGGGAGAGATGAATGTAAGTAGGAAATTCCAATTTGTTGGAGCAAATGGTATGCAGAGGTAGTCTCGTGTTGCTTTAGGAATACAGACTAAGGGACCAAGGAAGGTTTTCTAGCAGTGACCCTGGGTCAAGACCTACAGGAGTTAGCAAGGCAAACTGAGGGTTGAAGGGGTGTGAAATGGCCAGTGAGGCAAAAGCAACAGCATGGAAAGGCCTAGAGACCCAGCATGATGGTTCAGGGCATCACTGGAAGCTGTGCAGCAGTGGAATATAGGGCACCTTGGAAAGAAGGCCAGGAGATGAACCTGGAAATGGTGGGAGAAAATACATGAAAGGTCTTGTGTGTTACGTTAAGGAGTGTGGCCTTTATCCTAAAAGTGATGAGGAGCCACTAAATACTTTTAAGCTGTGTAGCAACATGATCAGATTGTGTTTTAGAAGGTTCACTCTGATAGCAATGGGAGGATGAACTGTAGGCAGGAGAAGCTGGCAACACAGGAACAAATTAATTGCATAATTAAGAATTTATGTATGTTAAAAAGCACCATGAACAAAATTTGAAAGCAAAGCACTTGGAAAGCATATTTGCAGCATTTCTTGACAAAAATAATATTCGTAATAAAATTACAAATTGATATTAAATTACAAATTGATATTATAGGTAAACATATCACAAAGAAAGAAGTACAAATGGTCAGTAAGGATAAGAAAATGCTATTCATTATTAATCAAAGAAAGTTAAAATAACATGTTGAAATAACATTGACATACTATTATTTTGCCTATCAAATTGGTAAAGATTTGATAAGTGATAATACCCAGTGTTGGGATGCAAGGAACAGGGCACTCTCAAGGCTGCAAATAGGAGAGTGCTTTGGTACAAACTTTTGGAGGGGCAGTTGGCAACATGTATCAAAATTCTTAAAAATAGCCAACCAATTTCTTTCTTGGATTTTATCCTAAGGAAGTAGTCACAGATGTGTGCAAAATTAGCTGTGAGAATGTCTATGCAATATTATTTTCAATAAAGATTGGGAACAAATGAAATAATCACTACTTGGGGACTGATCACAAAATGAAGGTCCATCCATATAATGAAGGTGCTGTTGGAAAAGTTTGAGAGACATGCAGAAAATGTTCATGATTTATTAAGCGAAGTCACAGAAGGAGCAAAAAAATGAGTCCAATATGCTACCACTTGTGTGTGATAAAAGAATATATATACATATGTTTGAAAATGCAAAGTATCTCCGGAAGGATATACAAGAAATTAGAGACAAACTAGATGCTGGCAGACAGGGAAAGATATTCACCTCTGACTATAGAACTTTTTGTACTTTTTCAATTTTGTATCTGTGTATGTATTACATATTCTAAAATATAAATAGACATTTTGAAAAGTAAGTTATTAATGTATACAGTGTGATCCATTTTTTTAAAAAAAACAACCATAACTGTGCATGTGTATGTTGTACATTTATACCTAAAAGAACTAAAAGATGTATCCAAAAGGATAAAAATGTCTTGGGTGGTAGGATTATAGGTTGGATTTTTGTCCTTTCTTGTCTTATATTTTTCCTAAAATTCCTACAATACACATGTGCAGCTTTCATAATAATTAAATGAAAAGTGTAAGTTTTTCCCCAAAGAGTCTATCACAAATGTCCAGGCAGCAGATGACAATACAAGCCAGGTCCATGATTAGTGCTCCGTCTATATAGTTCAGCAGTGATGTCCACACACAAATTGCATAATTAAATCACAGTCCTTGTTTTAGGGAGGGGTGGGGAGAAGGAAGCCAAAGATTTAGTAAGGTGAAGGGACCTGATTTTGCTTAACAGCTCCATGAAGTCTCTGTTGGACAAATGCATAGAAAATTAAGCCCCACCTCCCCAAACATCAGCCAATACCCCAGGTATATTCTTTGGGATCATATAACTTTGGGTCACAGTGAATGGAATTCCAAAAAACATGCGTATCTAAGTTACCAGACAAGCAGATGGCCTGTATCTTTGTTCTATGAGGTTCTGAGAGGTTGTCCTCACCCAGTGCTGGTTTTCAACCCTTCTCCTTGGTGGCAATGATCTTATTCCCATCTGTCCAGCCCTTCCCCAATGCACTCATGCAAGACCTCTCTCCTGCCTCTGAGCTGGGAATAGTACTGAGTCCTTCCTGATGCATGAAGACCAAAGGAAGACCCTGCCAGTCTGAACTGGTTTTGAAGGCCTCCTCTCACTTCATCTTCATCCTTCAGATCCTAACGAACAGTTTGTCAACTCCTGGACTTTCTAGGCTGGAGGCTTGGGAACAAGGAAGACCCTGCCAGTCTGAACTGGTTTTGAAGGCCTCCTCTCACTTCATCTTCATCCTTCTAATGAACAGTTTGTCAACTCCTGGACTTTCTAGGCTGGAGGCTTGGGAACAGGGGAGTTTTGCACATATGTCTCTGCTAGGCTTCAGGGTAGTTTGGGGTTGGGTAGTTCATGTGAAGCTATTTTGGAGGAAGAGGGCAGAGAGAAGAGGATATCCTTTTCCTCTTCTCCAAAGGGCGAGCTATAGGTAAGCATCTGTGGACCTTTGGATATTTCTAGTACCTTCCTACAGCTCCCATTGGATGCCTTTATGGAGCTATGTGAATATAACCTGTACTGCTGGCTTCTGGGTCCCTTGGCAGTGATTTGCTCCTGCAGTGGTGGAGCCTCTGCTTAAACAAATAACTCATAATTAACTTTGTATTTCCTTTTTGTCTCTACCTATAATTGTGACTCTTCCCCAGTGCTGGGGATGGGGTGAGGAATGCTAGGTGGGATGTTCAGATAACATGCTGTCCCCATCAGCAAGTAGGACAAACAATACACAGAAATAACTGCTGGGTCTTGGCTGTCTTTTCCTGGCCTGTCACTGCTCTGACCACTAGGGATTCTGGTCTCTGGTCTCTTTCCACCCATGCATCACCATTGACATGGTGAATGCTTTTCAGCTCAATACATATCATCCTGCTCTCCAATGGTTGTAAGTGTCCAGTATAATACTTCTTATAGAGAGGCAACTAAGTATAGGATAGTTACTATCTAGAGTTCTGGAGTCAGACAGACCTTGTTTAAAACCTAGCTATGCCACTTAAGGCCATGCAACCGTGGGATAGTTAATTTTTCTGGTTTTCAGTTTTCTTATCCATCAAATGGGAATAGTATCTCATAGAGTAACTGCATGAAGAAATAAGATTGCACATGTAAAGATCTGAAGACAGTGCATTTAATAAATCCTAACTATTAACCGCCTCGCTCAGCCAGTGAGCGGGAACCGGTCTGTATGTGGGATCCGAACCCTCGGCGGGAGCGCCTCCGCGCTTCCCAAGCGGCGCACTAGCGCAGTGCGCCACCAGGCCGGCCCCTGGTTTTCAGTTTTCTTATCCATCAAATGGGAATAGTATCTCATAGAGTAACTTCATGAAGAAATAAGATTGCACATGTAAAGATCTGAAGACAGTGCATTTAATAAATCCTAACTATTAACATTATTGCATCTGTATATATTTCAATTTTGTACAATATTGTCTTTTTCACTAATCACACAAAAAATACATGAAAGTGCCTTGAAAATTTTAAAGCATCATATAAGTTAAAGGTGTCATTGGTAATAATCTCATATGCATTTCTCAGCTCTTCCATCTCTTTGAAGACTGGGACTACATCTGATGTCCCACAGCATATTGCACAACGATGGGCAAACAATAAGCCCTCAGTAAATGTTTCTTGTTTACTGAAGCAACATGGCATAGCATAGAGAACATAGCTATCAGGAAACTAGGCTGGGATAAAAGTAGTTTAAGGCAGGAGAGCCAGTCTGCAGTCATAATTTATACATTCAACAAATATTTGTTGAACACATTCTACGTGCTAGATACTGAGTTCAGATAATTTCATCAAAAAGAGGCTGAACAAGTTCCCACAAAGCCAAGACTCTGGACAGTCTCCATAATCCCAGCCCACTCTTAAAAGCACAAAGGCTGTAGCCAACACTGTATACCACCGGACAAATGGCCAATTGCTTTCGGGGAAGTCCTATCCTGCCTGGCTATAAGTAGCTCTGTTGGAGGCTTGGGGGAGGGAGTAAAAGTGAGGGAGTGGGCTGCTTTCAACAGAAATGACAGGAACTGCTGCCTGTTAACTTATTTTTATTTACACTTAATTAGTCCACAGTTCAGTCCCCCAGCCTGTACAATGCTCTTTCCCCTAGGCGTCCTCTCTCCCTCCCCCTATAACCTACGTGGTCTGCCCTACCCCAATCCTTGGTGCATGTCACCCTGCCCTTCTGCTGTCACAGCTGCCTGCTGGGTGGGAGGACGGGGGAATGGTATGTGTGGTCACCAGAGGGCACTGAGAGTGGGCTTCAGTGGCATGTGAATCCTGGCAGAGTCTGGATCCCCAAGGGGAGGAGAAGGAAGCACAAGACAACAAGTGAGGGAGCGAGGCGGGGCTAAGGTGTCCAGGGGCATGGGGACTCCAGTGCACAAATTCATGGTCTCCATGTTGGCTTAACCAATGCTTCTGGTGTTTGTCTCATCCCTGGAATTGTTACCATTGCCTTGAGAAGCTCTGAGCATCAGGAAGGTGTAGATGGGTCCAGACTATGGGCTGTGTGCCCACTACCTTTGGGATGGTACACCTGCCAGGCTCTGCCTCATCAGACGTACTGGCTAAAGTCAATGCCACAGTGGCATTCCCAACCCTTGAAACTCCTCTGCAGCTCTCCCGGCAGAAGTTGGGCCCCTCTTAGTTGCTGACCTGCTAGAGAAGACGATGTCAACATTGTCTGGGCAACCCAACAGATTCCAAATTCGCATCTCTCCTTCTTTTCACATTGGGAGTAGACAAAGAGTTGAGGGGCGAAAGGAGAAAAAAGGGGAGCTGGAAGAAGTGGGGACAAAGAGACAGAACCCAAGGAGGGGCTCTCCACCAGGGGTGTACGGACATCTCCATATGTCCCCGGTGAGGTGTGGGTGCAGCTCTGGAGAGGCCTCCTAGTTACATGGCTTCTTTCTCTCTCTGGGAGCATCTGCTGAGCTTCATCTCCGTCAGCTGAATATACCGAATCACGTTGGTGTCTGTGAGGAGAGAAACACACCTTAGGGAGCACCTGATGAGGGCAACTATTGCATCTACACAGAATCAGGCAAAAGCTGGGGATGCAGATCGTGCACAGGCCAGATGCACTCAGCCAAAGTCCCTTCTGCCTATCTGTGGTGGCTGAGAGGGCAACCAGATACCAGCCCTCTCCTTCACCGCTTCCCCTTAGCAAATGTGGACAGGTCACTGTGACCCCAGGGACAGAAGGGAGGGAGAGGAGAGGACAATCTCTCCCTTTATTTATATGCAGCAGCACATCCCAGTGGTCCCCACGTCAACACAGTTAGTTTTACCTCAGACAAGCGACCAACTTCTCTGAGCCTTATGCAAGAAACAACCTTCATTGTGAATGCCTACTTTGTGCCAGGTTTTCTACCTTCATTGTCTCACTTAATCCTCACTACAATCCTGCAAGATATGTATCATCACCCTCACTGAGACAAAAAGGAAGACCAGGGCCTGGAGAGGTGAAGTAAGATGCCCAAGGAGACATGCAATAAATGGTGTGTCTGACTCCAAAGCTTGTCCCTCCTGGGGATCACAATACCTTTCTCGTAAAATTGCTGTGAGGACCAAAACAGATAAGTCTGAAAGTGCTTAATACAAGGATTAATAAGTATCGGTTGAATGTAATTTTTTTAACTTGAAGAGCTTAAGATGACTTTGCTTCATTGTCTTATTTTCTCCTTATAAGTAGGGTCAGACACCCCCCTCACCACAACCTGGGGCATTTCTCCCCAATTCCTGTCCTTAAATTAGTGAGGAGTCATGACATGGAATAGCTGCTTAGCTCTGCACACACCAGAACATAAGAGTTACAGGGCTGCCTGGGATATTTACTTCCAGAAGTAGAAATGAATAGTGTGGTATGCTCAAAAATGCCAGGAATAGTGCTGGCATGTAGTAGGTTCTCAAGAAAGTTCTGTTGAGTGAGTCCAGTTCTGACTCTTCAAGGTATTTACAGGATAGTTTGTGGAACACAATTTATATACAGAAAACAAATCAACAACACTTAAAAATAAAGATATTGGTATTCTTAGAAAATGATAAAGAAAAAAGTATACAGTTGGACATTTGCAAATTGATCCTACAATTCTTAAAGGCTTTTTGGAAGAAGGATTGCCTTAAAAAAAATCAACCATATGAATAGCAACAATGACAAGATCAAGTCAAAGTTATTGTTTAAATGTTACCTCCTCAGAGAGGCTCTTTCTGACCACCTGGTCTAAAATACCACCTCCTTCACTCTGCTTTATTTTCTTCATAGCACTTACCACTACTAAATAATACATTATCCACTTGTCTATTTGTTTACTGTTCATCTTCTTCCATTATAATATAAGTTCCTGAAGTAGCAACTTTCTTTTGTTCACTGCTATGTATATACCCAGCACCTAGAATAGTTCCTGGGCCACTGAACACCCTCAATAAATGCTTGTGGAATGAATGAATGAATGAATGAATGAATGAATGAATGGGTAAGCCAGTGGATTTGATCTAAGTGAACGGTACAGATAACACATGCTTTGAGGAATGGACCTGACTGGACAAGTCAGAGCACACTTCCTGGAAGACACTGGGCCTAGTGTCAAAATCGTTTGTTGTCTGTCTTGTCAACTGGAGATGAATCCTCATGGATAGGTGATGGAATTTGGATGTACTGTCCTCTCAGAACTCATGTGGAAATCTGATCACCAATGTGGCACAGTCGGGAGCTGTTTGAGTCGTGGGGGTGGATCCCTCATGAATGGATTAATGCTCTCCCCAGGGACGGGGGAAGTGAGTGAGTTTTCACTATATTAGCTCCCACGAGAGCTGGTTGTTTAAAAGACCCTGGCACCTCCCCCTCTCTCTCTTGCTTCCTCTCACCATGTGACCTGCTTGTTGTACCCACCAGCTGCCTGCCGCTTTCTGCCATGAGTAGAAGCAGCCTGAGGCCCGTGCCAGATGCAGCTGTCCCAGAATCATAAGCAAATAAACCTCTGTTCTTTATAAATTACCCAGTCTCAGGTGTTCTGTTATAGCTACACAAGCAGACTAATAGAGTAGGGCATATATCTTCTTATCTACATCCCGGGTGCCCAGCACAAATCTTTGCACATGGCCAGAATTCAGTATGTATTTATTGAATAAGTGAAGAGAGCTGGATTCTGAGTTTGAAAGGATGAAGAATTCTGTACTCTATTTGGAGAGAAGAGGTGCCCATGTTCCCTGGAGCCCAGACCCAGGCAAATGCACAAACTTTGTACTCTCCTCATTCCAAGTCTCAGCATGCACCTGACCCCTAATTTGCTACCTGGGTCCCTGCCTGGCTCTGCCAGCCATGGAAGTGGTCCCCTGCAATGAGAAGGCCCCAGGAGCTCCCTGAGGGGGACGAGAGTAACAAAACAGCAATTGCTACCTTACCTGTTGGCTGTCGGGTCCTTGCTTCTTTCAGGTAGTAGAGTGCTTTGTCATAATCCCCAAGGTGGTAAAAGGCCACACCAGACCGGTAAAGGGCCTTGAAGTTCTCCCCTTCCTTCTTCAGGACTTTGAGGCAATACTCCTTGACTCGCTCATAGTTTACAAGCTCAGCCTGGAGTAGGCAGGCTGTGGAGGAGGGAGAAAAAAGGGAAAATGCCATTAACACAACAGCAGCAGGCTCTGAGTGTCTCTCTGTAGTTCCTTTTCTCCAGACAAGGGTTAGTAGCGAGACTTCCACTGGGGCTTTCCACCGGGGTTTATGCCATGAGATTTGTCATCCACTAATACTGGGTTCCAGAATCAGTCACATGACTAACAGGCCATGTGACTTTGAGCAACTTACTTAGCCTTGTGTTATGGGTTGAATTATGTCTTCCCCACTCTCCACTCCCCCCCATATTTTGGAGTCCTAACCCCAAGTACCTGAGAATGTGACCTTATTTGGAGATAGAGTCTTTACAGGGGTTATCAAATTAAAATGAGATCATTAGAGCACTCCCTAATCCAATATGACTGGTGTCCTTATAAAGGGAAATAAGGACACAGAGACAGATGCACATGAAGGAGAGATGAAGACACACAGGTAGAAGACGGCCATCCATAAGCCCAGAAATGCCTGAGGCTACCAGAAGCTAGGGTGGAGGCATAGAACAGTCTCCCTCCTAGTCCTTAGAAGAAACCAACCAGCCAACACCTTGATCTTGAACTGCTAGCCTCCAGAACTGTGAGACAATAAATTTCTGTTATTTTAAGCCACCCAATTTATGGGACTTTGTTATGGCAACCCTGGGAATAAGCTACCAGAGGCAATGATCACCATCATCGTCATGAATAATATTTGTTGAGTGCTTACCATGTGCCACATGCTTGTCTCACTGTTTTACATGTATTACCTCAGAATACTATGCTGTAGGGACTACTATTATTCCCATTTTACAGCTGAGGCCCAGAGAGCTGAAGTAATTTCCCAAGGTCACACGAAATGAAAGAGGCAAGGGTGGGATGTAAACCAAGCTGCCTGGCTCCAGAGCCCAAGTTCTCCCTTATCAAGTTTGTTGGAGGATTATATAAAATAATGGTCATAAAGTACTTAACACAGGGCTTGGCACATAGCATAATTCTTTCAACCTGCACCAGTGACATCTGCCTCTGACTATCCTCAATTTCCCTTTCATACGTCTTTGTCACTGCAGTTCCTGAGAGCAGGGGCCTTCTGATGGGCTAGTGACCGGCCTCTACAGGGCACACCTCTGGGCATCGCAGGTAAGAGGAAGCTAGGGCTGGCAGGTGCTCATGGTGGGGATACTTCTCCATTCCATAAGCTGCCTTCTTTGAGTAAACTGTCTCGCCCTGAAGCTTTCTCTCACCAGCTCTGAGCTCCAGGGCCAGGAACAGGGTGAAGACCTCCCTGGAGGGTCACTGAATGACCTGGGAGAGTGACTGAAATTCTGTGACCCAGATGCTTCACTCTAATCCCAGCCACTGAGCCACTCCATCTCCATTCAATCACTCAGATATTTAGTAGGCACTGACTAAGGGCAAAGAGGTGTGTTCTGTACTTTGGAGGGATTACCAAAAAAGAGAGAGAGAGAGAGAGAGAAAGAGAAGGCACCTGCCTAATTCTTAAAGCAAATAAAAACAGAGACGTAGGAGGGAAAACTGCTGCTTCCCACCACGGCCCGGCTGGAAGTGGAGGGGTGTGGATATGCTGCTCCTTCTTTGTACTCAGATCTTCCCCACAGTGGAAGAAGCATCCTTGGGATAGAGGCAAGTCACTGGTTTTAATCTTAAGGGGTCTAACTTCAGTGGTTTTGATCCCTTGAATACCTTTCCAGGTATCAGGGTTGCTGAACTTCTTTTTAAGAAACCAGACCTTTCACAGCACAGTTTGGACAAAAGAAACATCCTATGCAGACTGTGGAGGAGGTGAACCACGCAGACTCTCAGGTTGAAGGGATGAGAACCAGGAAGTGAAAGAGAATCAGCCCAGGTCTAGAAACTGCCCTGTCAGGTCTCACTGGCTGCAGGGCAGAAAGCCAGACTAGTCAACAGAAGCAGCAGGCTGCTAACCCCGTGGGTGGCTCCTCTTCACCCAGAATCATAATCTGCTGGTGCACCAAAGGGTGCTTCCCAGTAAGCTGAGGCCACAAGCTCCCCTCCCCTCTCCCCCCTCAGCCGTGGGGTCTTGGGCCCCTCCATCCCCCCTACACCCCTGCACTGGTGCTCACTCAGACTGGGAGGGGTTTCTGTAAAAAGGTGCCTGCATGTGAACCTCACTGACTGCTACCTGCGTGGGACTTGGCTCCACCGTCTGCTCCCAGAGCTAAAGGATTTCCTGTCTGAGCTTCCACAAACCCTGTCTGACGTCCTCTCTAACCAGGCGTGGCAGCCCTCTTCCCGTCCATCCCTCCATCTTCAAACAGACTTTTCTGTTTGCTGACCCGGGCACTCCAGGAAACAGACTTTTGTTTCATTTAAAAACACTTTTTGACTGTCTAAAATAAATGGGGGAGTGGGGGGTTTGGGGGGTGGTGGTAGAAGGGAAGCAAAGAGGAAATGGGAAAGCCCTCCCCATCCCCCAGCTCCCGAAGGGTAAAAGGAACTATAGCAATCAATTTCTGGGACTTGTTTGGTGAAAATGTTTCAAATTCCTCTGCAGATCTGGTGGGAGCTGGGATACCTGGCTGTGAACCAGAGTTCAGACCTGCTGGAAGGCAGAGCCAGGCTGGCTACAGGGTGTGCAGGCCCTGCTGACACCAGAGGTGGGGCCGGGGAAGGCCAGGAATGGGCTGCTGTCCAGCCAGGTGGGATCTGGGTAAGAAGATGGCGTGCCAGGCCAGGGCTCTGAAGAGGGTTCAGGGGTGGAGGAATGCTCCCCCAGCCCTACCTGCAGGTGACTTTTAGGTACTTCTCTGCTTTGAGTGGGAGCATTGGTACATATGACAAGCCCATGGGATATGGAAGACAGATGTTCATAGGCACATTTGAGAGCTGAGGAAGTTAAGAAGAAATCAACTGGCTGTTTCC